AGCCCGTGTCCAGTCGGTAGCGCGGCCCTTCCGTGCCATCCCGGAGTGACCACCTGGGCTCCGCATCCCTCACGGTTATACAGCTGCTCGTCTCCTCTTCCCCTCCGTGCTGGGGCTTTGGGCCGCGGAGCCGCCCCCCGCCCCATCGGCGGGCTGCCTGCCTTTCTCGGGGAGTTTTGTAGCACCGTTTTTTGCCGCATGTGAGGAATTACTCGTTTATCAGCTGCGTGCAGCCGTGTATCCCGTGAAAAGGAGATGATCCACGAATAGGAAGCCATCACCTCTTCCCTGATAGTCGGTCATTTAACTAGAAATTGTTCTTCTAACAGTTATTACAACTTTAAAATTCAGTTCATAGGGCTTCTTGAAGCTAAGTATCCTGTAGTGAGTAAATAAGGATTGAGTACGTGTAATACTTAGCTTGAAATATCTGTAAGAGTTTCACATCTGATAAACACGTCTAGACTGTGACTTAGCTTTGGATGGAAAACGAACTCAGCTATTCATCAGTTTCAGACCTTCTCCTGAATTCTTCTGTTTTAGGTTCTTGATTTAGGTCCACACAGCAAGTATGTTTCTGCTCATACAAAGATGCTGCTTCCACACACCTTTCAACGTAAGTTTCTGAGACCTTTTCTGCTGTCAATTTTTCTTTAAAAGAAAAATAGGAAGAGGTATGACTGGAGCATTGAAAAACAGGTGATTTCCAAGCTGGAGTAGCCACATGTTTATCACTCAGTTTTTCTGAGACAGTTTCTCTAGCAGCTTTTATCCAAAGGTGAGATATTTCTTTTATAAAATCAAATTTTATTTTCTAGAGGTCTTTTTTTTCCTCTCTTTGCTAGAGTAGTGAGCAGATAGTAGCTTGTTTCTGGGGTCACCTTGTCCTATCTCTGTAATCACTCTATATTTTGTCCTGAAAGGGACTTAACTTTAAAATGCCTCAAGAGTGCATGCGTGGGTGGAAGGATAGGTGGATATACAAACCCTCTGTAGTGAGTAAGGTTTGTTTACTCACTGTGAAGAGGCTTGTTGCTTTTCATCAGCTAGCTTATGAAAGCTGTATGGGCTTAATCTGTTAAGTTACAAACACCTGAAAACCAAGAGGAAGGGCAGCTGTGATGTGACCTGACCTGGAAAACTACTTGGAAAATATTTCCTAGGTAGTGTGGGTAACTGTAGGTCCATAACCCTACACTGTAAGGTGTTGAGAACAAGTTTTGTATTTGCAGCTCCAGAAGTTAACCGGTCCCAAACTACTCCTGTATGGAAAGAGTAAGACAACTTGGTCTTGTCTCGGCCTCCGGCTGCAGAGGGATGTGTGTTCTGTCTCAAGACCTCCAAACCTCAACCCAGCATCAGTGTATGCAACCAAGCTCCAGGCTTTTCACACCTCTCTCCCCTCTTTCAAGAAGAAAACCCCCAAAGAATCCGAGACCAAACAGCCGGGCGTATTGCAACGAAGTATACAACTACTGAAGGATTCTCCCAAGCCAGCCCGTTACTTAAGCCTTGCAGGGCTGATTCCGTTTGTTTCTGTGCCGCTGTCGATGGCCATCCAAGGGACATACTACCCAGAGCTGGCGTTTGCTCAGATTACGTATGGTGCCGTAACAGTCTCTTTCCTAGGAGGAATGAGGTGGGGGTTTGCTCTCCCGGAAAACAGCCCAGCCAAGCCGGATTGGCTGAACCTGGCCAACAGTACAGTTCCTGCTGTAGTCGCCTGGCAAGCCTTACTTTTTCAAGATACCACTCTTGGTGCAGTGATGCTAGTAATAGCCTTAGGGATAGCACTGCATTATGACACTGCCCTTCTTCCTCCTTATCCTAGGTGGTTTAAAGTCATGAGGGTAACTGGAACAGTGGTGATGGTGCTATCACTATTAGCTACTGCAGTGTTGAAGGCAGCTTCCGAGATGGAACTAATTAACAAGAGAAATAAATGGGAGAACACAAAATAATATATCAATAGCAACAAACTGTTTATCTGCCAATCCCGTATTTGTATCGAGCTCCAGGGAGAACAGAGACTCTTGTGCTTTTCAGTCCTACGATGGCAGTAATCAAGATGCTTATTCTTGAAGCAAACAACTCTGCTAGTTTAGGAGGGAAGGACTGTAAATAGTGATGACTTCCAAGGCAGGCACATACCTGTCCTTATCTGCAGAACAAAGCATCGCTCTTGAATGAGACGTTACTGTCACGTGAATTTGAAAGACAGATTCAGATGACGTTGGTATGAATCGCTCTCTGCTGAATTATTAAAGTATCTGGTTTAACTATAGCGTGTGATAAAGTTCTGTGGTGGGGAGAAGAACCATGTAGTCATAAACAGTAACAAGGTGAAAACAGTTGTTCTGGCTTAGCGTTTAAAGTCGCAGAGAAGAACTATGCAAAGCTACGTGCACCTTCAGTTCTCATGTTGTGGGACAAAACTCTTCCCTGTTTTATTTCAGCTGAGAAGGTGCTGAAATGCTGTATGTGATTAGGTGCTAGTCAGGTGAGAAAGGATAGGCAAGGTTTGCCGTGGCAAGCCAAGGTCAGCGCTCACCTGAAGTATGTCATCCAGCTGCTGTGTTGGAGCAGGGGAAGCTTTGTATCCTTGACCAGGCACCACAGGAGACAGGTTAGTTTCCTACTCAGCTTTTCTTAAAGGTACCTGGGCCATCTGTTCAAGGTTAGCTTCCTACTCAGCTTTACTTAAAGGTACCTGGGCCATCTGTTCTAGGTTTTGTTTGGACTTAGGGCTGTGTAGCCAAGGAAGCTACGTGCAACATAGTCGTAAAGGTCTGTCATGCTCCTGAAGTACTCTCAGCTGATGATGTGACACGAGGGGAGATTCAGATTAGGTATCGGGAAAAAGTTCTTCCCGGAGAGGGTGGTGAGGCACTGGGACAGGTTGCCCAGAGAAGCTGTGGATGGCCCATCCCTGGAAGTGTTCAAGGCCAGGCTGGATGAGGCTTGGAGCAACCTGCTCTAGTGGAAGGTGTCCCTGCCCATGGCAGGGGGATTGGAACTGGATGATCTTTAAGGTCCCTTCCAACCCAAACCATTCTATGGTTCTAAGGACGTGATTGCTGGCACTAAGGGATCAGATAGTGGGATTGAAAGTAATTTGTGTCTTCTCCCTCCTCAAAACTCATTTGATTTGCGCACTTGGAGTAGGTACAAATGGACTCACAGTCTGCAAACCCTCCGTGATGGGCCACTTACTGAAGACGCTGCAGGAGCATATGTTCTTTGTACCTGAGTCTTCCTGATGCATCATTTAGGGGAAGAAGATACAACATAAGTCACATAAATTTTTTTCTGTGCTGGTTTTAGTCAGGAAAGAGTTAACTCTTCACAGTGGCTGGTGTGAAGCTGTTTGTGGATGTACCCTGAGAAAAGTACTGATAAGGTGTCTTTTTAGCTGGTGCTGGGGAATGCTTGCACAAATTCAAGGTCTCTCTCAGCTTCTGATACTGCAGCTGCATTCCCAACTGTCTCTCACTACCGAGAGTGTGGGGGGGCACACAGTTCAGACAGCTGACCTGAACAAACCACTGGAGTATTTAATTCCACAGTGTGTCATGCACATAAGTACATCCAGGGGCCATTAATTTTTCACTTTCACTGTCTTAGACTTGTAACACTCTCTCAAACTCTGTTGTTAGCTGCTTTGCTAACTCCTGGCGCATTCGTTTGTTCGTGGGTGGGTCCGTTAGTTTTCCCAGTCGTGCTGTCGCTGATAGGGTTCACTCGGACTCTGCTGTGATCACTCTCGGGCTCTGACTCTCACTACTCAGGACCTGGTGGTGCACTGGTCAGTGGGTGTTGAGCAGTTGTATCACACTGTATCATATCTTTTATTTTCTACTATTTTAATTACTTATTATTAGTAGTATTTGTATATATTAATTTAGATTCAGTTAGTAAATAGTTCTTATCTCAATTTTATGAGCTTTCTTGTCTTTTTCCTCTGGTTCTTCTCCTCTGCTGGAGGAGGGGAGGGGACACCTGTGAGAGTGGCTTCATGGTATTTTGCTAGCCAGAGTTAAACCACAGCATAGCCTCAGCTTTCTCAAGATACCTGTGAACCTGTATGCAGGCATATTTACTGTACGCTTTTTATCAAGAATTCTTTAAGTACAGTAGCTGTGAGAATAAAGCTGAGAAGTGACATCCACACACATTCTTAAGACCAGTTTAAATAATCCACATAGTTCTCTTATATGAACTCTCTTCATATTCTCGTCAGACGTGGTATTGCTGAAACAGCAACTATGTGCATTAGTGTCTAACTTTGGTAACCTGTTAACCGTGTTAACAGCATCATACCTCTGAAAAAGCGATGTATTTCAGTGCTCCCTGAATATAAAGGAAGTAAAATTCTAAGTGAAAACAGTTCTTTTATGCTTTCTTACTTAGACATGGCATTTTTTAAAATGGTACTGCGTTTGGCTTGATTTGGGAAAAGAGGTACTGAGAATCAGAGACTGTAATCAACCAACTTCCAGGTTTCATTCAAACACGATAGAATCAGCTACAAAAACTGGAGAAGGTAACTTCATACAACAGCAGACTCCATCCAGCTCCACTAAACCAGGAAGGAAGTTTATGGGTAGGGAGCAGAAGTGAATTCCTAGTTCCCAAACTAATAAAATACAGCTAATGTTTCTCAAAATGGTTCCATGAGGGATCCTGAAATATAAAGAAAGCTTAAGAAATACCACTTAACATTTGATCCCAGAGAGGGCTGCACAGAGCTGTCAAGGCAGCCAGACTTTCAAGAAGTATGAGTGATTTTACACCAAAATGAGAAATACGTGAATGTTTTACTACAGAAGCGTGTTACTTGTACCTTTCAAACGGTCTACATTCATAACCAGTTTTTCCTAGTGTCTTACTGGGAAATAGGATTTCCAGTAAATAAAGAAAAAAGGACCTATTACATGAAAGGGACTGTGATACACCTGTGATGGGAAAGCAACCTGTCCAAGAGCATTCCACAGCCAGTTCTGAAAACGCATTTTATTATGAAAAGCTGTTTAAAACAAGCTGGAACTTGGGAAAAAAAGAAAAAAAAAGACAGAATAGACATTAGTTCACACGCAGGAAATCCTCTGAAGTGAAAGCACACACAAGATCATACAACGATCAGAGAAACAAATGCTCTGTCCTCCAGCATGTTTTAGCCTGGCGATCTCCTGACCCTGTGTTAGAACATAAGGCCTAGATTCTCCAGGTACCTGCAATGCTCACCTTGGAGAATTTTACTCGTGTTAATTTGTTAATTTTACACCGGGGAGGTTGACCTAGAGAGCACCAACGCTCCTTTGTCTACACAGTGCAGGCTTCCTGTTTCACAACATTCCAGTTGCGGTTTTGTGTTCTACAGTAACACTGTCCATCGAGTTCAAGCAGCCTTATTTCAGACTCCATCCAAGTCATCTGCAGCTGTGCAGAAAACAGCTTCAAATATGTTAACTAAATTAATTTAGAAATAACTCCAAACTCCTCGTAGTACTGTTCTGTGAAGTGTATCCAAGCTAAATACAAACTCCTTAAGACAAAACACACTAACTGCATCACTTCAATGCTGAATGCAGCTAATTCTAGCACAAAACGCTCTGTCCGCTCAAATCTGGAAGAGGCAGGACACGGATATAGCAAGGATGAACGTGTGTACCCTGCAGAACAGCATGTGTTCCCATGCCAAGTCTCAGCATCTGTCACACAGGGCAAAACAGTTAACTAAGGAAAAAAGAAAATGGGGCAAAATTTATACTAAGAGCAGTCATAAATAGAACAGCTAATCAATTTAAAATTCATCAGAGCTTGCACAAAAAAGGAGCCCTACTTTCATCACTGACACCACTGAGAAGAAAAGCCTGTGGTGAAGTGGAATGACATTATTAGAACTGTGAGAATAACCTTCCAGAACAGGAAATTCTCAGCCACTCACCATCCAAGTTAGTGGAGTGGCCAGAAAGTAAATATCCAGTTCATAGTTAATGCCCGTCATGTCCAGCAGCAGAAGAGGCACAAAGGCATCAAGGTCAAAAGCAGAGATACCAAGTCTTGCTCTGTTTTACCTTCTCTTCCTTGTCTTCTGCCAGAGAAGAATGACTAATGCTACGCAGGCAGCCCACCTGCTCTTCTCTGCAGGTAACTCCTAGCTGTCTGTAGCAGCGTCCTTCCAGATGTAAGGCCGGCTTCAGGTGCCAGCTCTGGTGCACCTCAGACAGTTAACGACCTAATTAATGTCTCTGATGTGCTGGAATGATTTCTTTGGATTTTTACAGGGCAAATTCACCATTTAATTCAGTGAACTTAATCCAGTCATAAGGGGCATTCCTACTCTTAGTAGAATACTTCCTGAGAGAGACACTGGCTAAGGCAATATGAAGGGCAAGAGCTCTAGTATTTCCTTTCTCTGAGGAGAAGCCCTCTCATCTAATTCTCCTCTGTCTCTACTGAAGCTCCTGTGTTAGAAGAGCAGAAGTCTGAGGAGGAGACAAATCCACTCATTCCCTTAATGAGTTTTCTTCTTTGTGTTTTACAGCACGGCTACACCTCCCTCACAGCGGCTGGTGATCATGTGAGCAATTTCAGTCCAACTGTCCATATGGGGGTTATAAACTTCAACAGAGTCAGAGGTTACTGGAGCAACAAAATCATGACTGGGAGCTCGGCCTCCCAAGGCATATAGAAGTCCATTCACAGCCACCACACAGACACCAGCTCTTGGAATCTTCATTGACGCGACTTCAACCCACTTTTCCTATTGAGAAGGTAAAGAGAGTCAACAAGTATTCGTAGGCTAAGCCCCAATTCTAATAAATTTAACTTTTAAAGCTTCAAGACTGAAACATATACAAAGAACACTACGCATATACTTCACGGGCTCAAATATGCTACGTGTACAGCATCAAGGAGATTATCGAGACTGTAATGGCAGCTCTTTCACAGGTCGAAA